CCATCATCAGGTGGGTCACCTGCACCCATTGGGTGAACCTGGTTGGGTGGATCAACCACCACCAGCCTCGTTGACCCTTGGGTTGACCCACCATGGTTGGGTGGGTGACCTTCACCAGGTTAACCAACACCCTTGGGTTGACCGACGATCGTTAGGTTGGTTGACCCCTCTTGGGTTGGTCACCCATCATCAGGTGGGTCACCTGCACCCGTTGGGTGAACCTGGTTGGGTGGATCAACCACCACCAGCCGTGTTGGCCCTTGGGTTGACCCACCATGGTTGGGTGGGTGACCCTCACCCCTTGGGCAACCCTTGGTGGCATCTGATGCTCGTTGGGTTCTCCAGCTCCTCTTGGTTGACCAGTTGCTCCACCATCTTTGCTTGGTCACCTTCCAGCTCCCTTGGGCCTCCAGGACTTGGGCCACCAGGTCCCTGGTGCCACCAAAGGCCACTTGGGTGGGTCCTCAGGGACTCACCAGGTTGGTCTTCAACCCGAACCAGCTTCTCCTGGGATGTCCCCACCTTGGTGGCACCTCCAAGGGAGGTGCCCACGAGGGACCTTGGAGAAGAGGAGGAGCTGGGGCCTCATTTTTGGGGTCGAAAGGACAGAAGTTCCCACCAAAGGTCCCAACACTTTAATTTCTCCACCCTTCCCACCCCCCCACCTTCTCCACCCACGACCTTGACTCCACCCACGACCTTCCCACCGATTTTCCTTCTCCCAACGTCCAACCACCACGGTCTTGGTCCTCCAACCTCCTTCTGGACGTGGGTTGGGTTGTCATTGGTTGTCCTGCATGGTCTCCTGGATCCACTTGAAGTACCTGCAGACCTTGGTGTAGACCCCAGGTCTCTTGGGTTGCCCACAGATCTCCATGCCCCAAGAGACGATGCCTTGGAGGTTCCCGTTGCAGACCAAGGGTCCTCCAGAGTCACCCTGGGGAAAGAGAAGGTCTCCTAGGTCACCCCAACCCTTGAGGGGGGCTTGGTCAACTCCCTTGGGCTTGACCCAACATCATTGGGCAACCTCGATGGGTTGGGCATCGTCATTGGGTGGTTGAGAAGCCACCGTTGGGTTGGTCAAACCATTGGGTTGGTCACACTATTGGGTTGGTCACCACCGTTGGGTTGGTCACCACTATGGGTTTGTCACCCCACTGGGTTGGTCACCACCACTGGGTTGGTCACCACCACTGGGTTGGTCATCTCATTGGGTTGGTCACCCCATTGGGTTGGTCACCACCGTTGGGTTGGTCACCCCATTGGGTTGGTCACCCCATTGGGTTGGTCACCACCGTTGGGTTGGTCATCTCATTGGGTTGGTCACCCCATTGGGTTGGTCACCACCGTTGGGTTGGTCACCACCACTGGATTGGTCACCACCACTGGGTGGTTGAGCAGTGGGTTGGTTACCATCGCTGGGTTGAAGACCCTCAGTGGGTTGACCAACCAACCCCAGTGGGTTGTCCACAGACCTTTGGAGGGCTTGAGTTGGCCAACCCTTGTTGGGTTGAAGAACCACCCCCAGGTTCTTCAGCTCCTCTGGGGTTGAACCACCAGAAGCCCCACCAAGAGAAGCCCCAATAAAAGAAGCTCCACCAGAAGAGGCCCCACCAGAAGAACCACAAGAAGAAGCCCCACCAGAAAAAGAACCACCAGAAAAAGAACCACCAGAAAAAGAACCACCAGAAGAAACCCAACCAGAATAAATCCCACCAGAAGAACCACCAGGAGAAGCCCCACCAGAAGGAGAATCACCAGAAGAGACCCCAGAAGGACAAGCCCCACCAGAAGAAGCACCAGAAGAAGCACCAGAAGAAGCACCAGAAGAAGCACCAGAACCACCAGAAGAATAAGAACCACGAGAAGAAGAACCACCAGAAAAGGAACCACCAGAAAAGGAACCCAACCAGAATAAATCCCGCCAGAAGAACCACTAGAAGCCCCACCAGAAGCCCCACGAGAAAAAGAACCACCAAAAGAACCACCAAAAGAACCACCAAAAGAACCACCAAAAGAACCACCAAAAGAACCACCAAAAGAACCACCAAAAGAACCACCAAAAGAACCACCAAAAGAACCACCAAAAGAACCACCAAAAGAACCACCAAAAGAACCACCAAAAGAACCACCAAAAGAACCACCAAAAGAACCACCAAAAGAACCACCAAAAGAACCACCAAAAGAACCACCAAAAGAACCACCAAAAGAACCACCAAAAGAACCACCAAAAGAACCACCAAAAGAACCACCAAAAGAACCACCAAAAGAACCACCAAAAGAACCACCAAAAGAAGAACCTGTAGAAGAAGAACCTGTAGAAGAAGAACCAACAGAAGAAGAACCAACAGAAGAAGAACCAACAGAAGAAGAACCAACAGAAGAAGAACCAACAGAAGAAGAACCAACAGAAGAAGAACCAACAGAAGAAGAACCAACAGAAGAAGAACCAACAGAAGAATAACCAACAGAAGAAG